GCCTGAGCAGTCAGGAAACAAAAGAGCAGTCTCCGCTTACAGAATTTCTGACCAAGGTCGAAGGTCATACAAATCTATGGGTGTAGACATAAATATTAAGAAGGTGATTTGGCAACAGGATCATTTACTAGAACATCACCAGCAGCTTCCCTTTCATTAGAAAATAATTTCAAAAGTGCTCATTCTGCTTGCTTCTGAAGAGCCACATGTAATTAGCCAGTTCTCTACATTTATTGATGAAAGTTCTGACATCAGAAACTCACTGTCTCTGATGTGGGATTCCCTCTGTATGCTGTGAGTACCACTGGTTAATAAAGAAACCGTCTTGGGCCCGCACAGGGAATAGAGGTAGGTGGGGAAAACCAAACTGCTTGGGAGAAAGGAGGCGGTAAGTGCTTTGCCCACCCAGCCATTTCCAGATCTTTGGTGTTTCTTTTCTTTAACCTTACTTCTTTCTCCCCGCTTTTCTTCTCCTTATTTATTTTATTCCAGTGTTTGAGACAAGGTCTCACTGTGTAGCCCTGGTTGTCCTGGAACTCTCTGTGTAGGCCAGGCTGGCCTTGAACTCAGAGACCTGCCTTGCCTCTGCCTCTTGAGTGCTGGGATTAGTAGTATTTTTATCCTTATTGATCTCTAGGCTCGTAATTTATTCTCATTTTTTTTGGCCTTTCCCCCCTATGGTTACTGATGATATAGCAGCTACCTTTCCCTGGGTTTTAATTGTCTATATCTGGTTTGTTTCCATGCTGACTTGCTACTTTTCTATAAGGGACCTTCAAGCACCTGAGCCTTTTCTAAACAGAATGCAATGTCCCCCAAAAATTTTAGGATGCAGAGAGGAGCAGATCAGCTTTGTCACTGAGCAGGGACTTCACAACAGAAGTTGCACAGGAGTGGAGAGCAGAGGCCTGGGTCAGTGCATCAAGTGAGCCTGCCCTAGCCTCTGGCTTCTAGGTTGCTGGGTAACTATTCTCCTAAGAAGGGGCTCTCTCGGGTGGAAACAGGGCGGACTTCTGTGGAGAGAGCAAGCTGAGCTGTAGTTTTCTTACAAACAGAGAAGGAAGAGTAGTACAGCAAAGAAAGAAAGGAGCTGGACGCAGAGCAATCACACAAAAAGCCCGCACTAAATGTGTGCTGAGTTTTCCAAGAGCCGAGAGTCGGTGTCCACCATCACGGCTTTACTTCCTTAATCTGCTGTGTTTGGTAAAACCAGACTCTGTGTATATAGTTCTGAAAATAAAATGTAACTCTTGTAAGAAACCTTTAAATTATTTTCCAATGGGCGAGCAGTGTGGTTGGGGTGGGGGGGGAGGTGGAGGTAAGAGGAGTCTCAGGTGTCAATCTGCAGGCACCGCCTCCCTTTGTGTTTTCTGAGGGCCCCTGACTGCTCTGAAGCGTGCCTGGCAGGTGAGACCTACTGGCAAAACCCCAAGGAGCTGCCAGTCACTTTTTCTCCAGTGCTAGGATTGTGTGTGTCTGTGTGAGTGTGAGTGTGTGTCTCTCCGTGTCTGTGTGTCTGTGTATGAGTGTGTGTGTGGTGTGTGTGTGTGTGTGTGTGTGTGTGTGTGTGTAGCATGAATTCTAGTTGATCTTAATAATAAAAACCTGGAGTCAGATATTAGGGCATGACAGCTGAAAGGTCAGAGGAGCAGAGCAGCAGCCACTTGTCTTTCTTCCTTCCTTCCTTCCTTCCTTCCTTCCTTCCTTCCTTCCTTCCTTCCTTCCTTCCTTCCTTCTTTCTTTCTTTCTTTCTTTCTTTCTTTCTTTCTTTCTTTCTTTTTTCCGAGACAGGGTTTCTCTGTAGCTTTGAAGTCTATCCTGGAACTAGTAGACCAGGCTGGCCTTGAACTCACAGAAATCCACCGGCCTCTGCCTCCCGAGTGTGCCACCACTGGTGGACAAACCACTAGTTCTTACCTCTATGTAATCCTCAGACTGTAAGGGTTCCTACCTCTACAAGTCCTCAGAATGAGTGCTCTGAGCTCCTGTCTGTTCCTGCCTTATATTGCTCTCTCTGTCCAGCTATATCACTCCTGTCTCCACCTACCAAGTGCTGTGATCAAAGCTGTGAACTCTCTTTCAATAGCCTGTATTCCAGGGTGGCCTGGAACTCATGAGACCCCCTGCCTCTGTCTCTGAGTGCTGGGATTAAAGGTATGTGCCACTACTGCTTGGCCACTATGGCTTGACTCTGCACTCTGATCCCCAAGCAAGCTTTATTTGTTACAGCACAAAGTATCACCACACATGAGTGCAGGTGCCCTCAAAGGCCAGAGACTTTGACTCCCCTGGGCTGGAATTCTAAGTGACTGTGAGTGTCTGGGAACTGAGCTCTGGACCTTTGTCAGAGTAGCATCAGCTGTTAACTGCTCTGTCTAGTTCCACACCCTGCTCAGCAGAACTCAGGTCCATGCTGGCAAGGACAATACTTGGAGCTGTGGCTTTGGCCTACTCTTTTCCCTTGCGAGCAGAGGAAATGGGTCACTGTGGTGGGCATTTGGAAGGAAACTTTAAAATATCCATCGAGTTAGTCACAGTGGGGTGGAATGGTCATATCAGCTCATCCCCCTCCCCAATCAGGCACATGGAGGCAGCCCTGACCCAGCCCTGAGGGTGAGCAGGAGTTTAACAGGCTTCCCTGTGATGTAATTCTGCTCATTAGTTCACTAGGAACTGGTGTATGTGTGTCTTTCTCTGTGTGTGTGTCTGTGTGTCTCTGTCTCTGTGTATGTGTGTCTTTCTGTGTATGTCTCTGTGTATGTGTGTGTCTTTCTCTCGTTGTGTCTGTGTATCTTTGTGTGTGTCTATGTGTGTGTGTCTGTGTGTCTCTGTGTATGTCTCTCTCTCTCTCTCTCTCTTTCTGTCTCTCTCTCTCTTTCTCTGTGTGTGCTTCCAGACAAGGTCTTTTGTGTCTGGTCTGGCTTCAAATTTGCTTTGGGTCTATGAAAGATGGGGTGCTTAGGGAGCAAGGGCAGCCTCCTTCACCTCTCAGGGAAGAATCAGACTGTCCCTCCAGTCAGATGAGCCAAGGGCCAGCCAGACACAGAGAACACTTGGGTGTGCTTTAAAAAGCCCAGAGAACTGTTACAATGTGGTTAAAGATCGCTGACTTTCTGATGTTGTTTTTGTGTGCAATGAAAACCAGTCGCTAAAAAGGTGCATACAATCAGTCTGCACTGAGAAACACCTTTTAAAAAGGGAAGCCTATCTCCAAGCTCCTTTTGTTCAAGAGTTAACCTACCAAGGCTCTCACCCCAAACAAATACCATCTGTTTCTCTTTATCTAAGCCACAGAATATGAGAGAAATTTTATGGTTGCTTTATGATAGGTACCCCCCACTGTTGTCTCTTCCACACACAGGTGCATGAGATTGATTGAAGGGTATTTATATTATCCTGTAGAATGGCCCTCTGTGCATTTCTCACGATAAATAACACAGCTGTAAGGTCTTGCCTTATTCAAATGAACCTAATCAAATGAAGTGGGTAGCCCGCAAGTCAGCCAAGTACGTTCTTCAGGTACTGTGGTTACTTCATCTGTAATAGCACAAAGGACCACTAGACGGCGCTAGTGTTTAAGAAATCACAGCTCGAACCTTGTGGCTGATGCTATCCAATGCGAGAAATCCAGCATTACCTTCAAGCCTCAGTTCATGCCAGTCTTGTCCAGCTGTCTTCTGCTTGCAGGAGCCATTGCTTGGGTTTGTGTCCACCCACACAAGCATCTGAAAGATGACACTTGTAGTGGCCCAGTTCATCTAGTCACTCCAATAATGACATGTGATTTGGCACTTTTACCCAGATTTATCTTAGGAGTATTAGAGCTTTGCCTGCACATATGCGTGTGTACCATGTGTGTACCTGATGCCTGAAGAGGTCAGACGAAGGACTGGAGCTCCAGATGCTTCTGAACGACTGTGAACTAAACCCAGGTCTCTCTGCAAGAAAAGCCAGAGTTCTTCCCTGCCGAGCCCTCTGCAGGCCCCAGAACAGAACTTTAATACTCAGCGTCCTGTCCTCGGTCTAATCTCTTTAGAGCATGTGCCACAACTGTGAGCGAGTGCTTGGGCAGAATTAGCTATTGAGATTAAGAATCTGAGGCAGGGCGTCTTTGCAATCTACTAAGGTGTTTCGGTAAGGTGATGAGGTGTCCGAGGTGCAAGGGTCGCTTTTGGATCTTTGTCCAATCTGAAACAACCAATCCATCCTTCTGTGGGCACAATCTCAGTCCCCTACCACACTCAGCACAAAGACAGATGCACGTTATGTGCAGCTGAAACATCCCCTCTTCAGGGAATAAAAGGTCGGTGTAGTTTCTACCTGGGGCCTGCCTGAATTGTACTTGCCTCGTCTGTGTCCCGCGGATGCTCCTCCACGCCACGGTTAGGGCTGTTTAATTACAGTCTGATGCTCTTTGGGAAGGCTGCAGAGGCAGCCCCACCCCTTTGATGCCGGACAGCCACTTGCTTCCGTTTTTAACCTCACACACGATTCCTAAGAGGTTGTGTTTTAGCGAGAAACCACAACGTACCAACTCATGTTCTGTTGTTTTTCTTTTTGGCAAAACTCTTGCTTTGAAAGAGAGGACAACAACCAGGTGGAAGGGGCCCTTTATCAGTCAATGAGGCTGCACGCATGTTGATAGTTAAGACAAACCGAAACGGCACCTGACTGAATCTGTCAGTCACCAAGTTGGCCCCCTTAGACACTTGATTGGTTCCTGGGGAAGCTTGATAGGCAGGCTAAGAAACACAGCAGAACGCAGAACGCTGTTAGCAGAGCCTGGAGGTCCTGACTCTGGTCCAAAGCAGTGCAAAGGAAGAGTCTCACCCTCGTGTTTCTGAGACTCCATGTAACCTTTTCGGGGAGTGGGGGGAGGTGAGAGGGGTCTTCACCAAGAAAACCGCTGGCTTGCTCAGCACCCAGCCCTAGGCGCACTCTGAACATACTTCCCGCTTCGCCCAGAGGGTGCCGCTGCAGTCCCAGCCTCGCCCCGCGGCTCCCGGCTGCGGCTGGGTCCCCGCGGGATACGCGCCCGGTAGGGGGCGCCCTGGACCCGCTGGCTCCCTCCGCCCACGGGAGGCGGCCACGGCGCACCAAGCCCGGGGCACTCGAGCGCACAGCCCGGCGGGCCGCAGCGGGGAGGTGCGGAGCGCGGCGAGGGCGGCTGCGGGAGCCAGCCGCCGCCCCTGCGCTCCGGGGCTGCGGGGCGCATGGGGCGCAGGGGACTGGGAACCTTTGCAGGCTGTGCGCCCGGCCGCCTGCTGCGGTGAGACGCGGCACCGGACGCCTCCAGAGCCCGGGCAGTCGGGAGTATGACCATGGCTGGGGGCCGGCGGGGACTGGTGGCCCCGCAGAACACGTTTCTGGAGAACATCGTGCGGCGGTCCAACGGTAAGCGCTGCTTCTGGATTTCGGTTGCCCCGGTGGTTTTTAAATCTTATTTATTTTTTAAAACGCGAGCGGTGATTTGCAACGCCTCCTGTTCGGTGCCGGCAGATGCAGGGGCATCTTGGAGCTCTGCGCATTGGCCTCTCCCGTCCGGGAGGTGGGCAGGGTCGGAGAGGGGCTGCTGCGCCCCATCTCTGGAGGAGAGATATCTAGGCAACGCCTTTGGGGCCCTTTCCCGCTCCCTCCCGTTGTCTTCTCCAGGAAAGCCTGGCAGTTGGTGAGCAAAGTCCTGGGAAAAGTGGCCGCAGGCTGGCCATCTTCGAGCACTGCGCTCCTGATGCGCACTGCCCGCCTCCCCGCGGATGCTCCCCGGAGTCCCAAGGCGCCAGGGAAGCCAGAGCCAGCAGCAGAGCTGGGCCACTCAGATCCTGACCCTGTCCAGCTTCTGGGATGTGCCAACTCCACCTTCCATCCCCTAAGCAGGAAAGTCTGCCCAGCAGAAACGCGATGGCAGGGCTGTCTTTTCCATCTTCGCCAACCAGCTAGAGCAGATAGCTCGCGAGGTTCTGATGGTTTTCCTGGACTCAGCTTGGGAAGTAGAGGACACAGGCAGGAGTGAGCTAAGTGGTCCCAGACACAAATCTGATTTATTTCTTCTCTTTAAAACCCGATCAGTCTTGTCTTCCATCACCCGCAGACTCTCTAGTTTATCCATTATCCAAGAAACCTGAGCATAGCACGAGGTTTCTCTGTCTTTAAGGACAGCACGAAGCAAAGCGACAGGGAGGAAAGAGTCCTATGACGGATGGGGAGGGAACACTTCCCAACACCTTTTAACGCAGGGTTTACAGTTTCCTGTGGTTTTAGCCTGAAACCCTGGAGGCGAAAGTCCTCAGAGCAGGCACCCCAAAAGAGCAATCCAAACCTTTCCCACCTGAGCAGTCCCGGATTAGGGAGTTACTACATACACCTGTTCACCAGGCTACAGAGGCGCTCCTCGCCGGCTCCAGGGCCTCTCTCCTCCTAGAAGCTGGTGACGTTCTCCTGCGGAGAGGCTGTGAGGACCTAAGGCAAGAGCTGGGTTTTGACCGTGTAAACATCATGGCATGGAGCCTTGGAACTCAGCTTGAAAAGGATGAGCTTCCAGCTGGATTCAGTTAGGGATTGAAGGGAAGGGCATCAAAAGTGACCTCTGCCACTTAGACATTCTCTTTCATTAGAAAAGCAACTGGAGTTTATAAGAAAAAGCCTATCCTCTATGATAGCAAATCTTACATGCTCCTTACGTACTTTCTTGGGAATTACCCCATCTTTATTGTGTGTCCCTTAAAGATAAGAGTACTGACTGGCTGTTGCCATTCCTCCAAGGTTTAAAGGGGTTGTTTAGAGCAAGGTCACGGTCATTACCTGGGGCCCTGTGCATTAGTGTGTGTGTGTGTGTGTGTGTGTGTGTGTGTGTGATAATTGCTAACCGGCAGCCACAAGGAATGGCTTCTGCCATAAAAATCTGGAAGCAATCGTAGTTTAAGTTAGTGTATTATTATGGCTCCATTAACTGACCTGGAATGGACATCATCTTGCAGATTTGGGGACCCCACTGTGAGTGGCATTTAACTTTTGCACAAACACCATGAACATTAATGAAACGTCTATCTGCTGGAGAGGAAGGGGCGTCCTGTAAGTCAGCGGGGAAACTATTGTGGTGTGCTCTGTGGCCTGGAGCAGGAAGAGGGTGCTGCAGGCTATAGCCAGGGCTGCTTGGGTTTATCGGGAGTTAAAAACTCCTACAACCATCCTCCTGGTTAGTCGATGTCGGCGCCGGTCCCCTGTGTAAGTATAGGTAGAAAGTCGATAAAGCAAGCGGCCTGGAGTATTTTTAGCTCTGGCCCTTTCTTTTCTCGGCACCTGGTCCAACAGCTTGATTCCCATCAACTAAAAAGGAGCAACACAGACAAGCCAGAAGCTCTGGGGGGTGGGGTGGGGTGGAGGAGCTGGAAGACATCTTACATACTCTGTTTTCAGGTAAAGAGTGCTGACTTGAAATATGGAGTGTACAGTTTTTGGTGATCATTTTCCTAACACTACCCTAGTGTGAATGACTGAATACCGTGGATGCTAAGACAGCTCAATATCTACCTGCATTGTAGTATACGTTTTTATGTTACTGCCAGCTGAAGGTGGTGGGGCACGCCTTAAATCCCAGCACTTGGGAAGCAGAGGCAGGTGGATATCTGTGAGTTCAAGGCCAGCCTGTCTACAGAGTGAGTTCCAGGACCAGCCAGGGCTACACAGAGAAACCCTATCTTGAAAAACCAACATACATACATACACACACACATATATACATATGAACACACATATATACATGCAGATGTACACACACATGTATCATTTCTTGAAAACCTGGCAATGTATTTGTGGTCATCACAACATTTAAATAGCATTTACCTTTAAATAGCAATGCTCCATAGTCCCCCTATTAGGAATTTTACCCCAGTGTGTGATGAGCAACAAACTGAATCCTGTGCTAAGTGGCCTGCTCACAGTGTCTGGTCGGAGGTGCTGCAGCTGGTGGTTGTTAGAGGGGGTACTGTGGATCAAAGCCAGGGCCTTGAACTAGCTAGGTAAGCGCTGCGCCATTGAGTTGTACCCAGCCCTCATGCAATTTCTTGTGTTTTATTTTTTCTCTGCTTGATGAACCTTGGTTGGAAAATGCTTTGGTCATCTCTAGAAGAATGGCTGAGAGAACGTGCAAAGGGGTTAGAACTAGCTTTGTTTGGGTGCCTGGAGGATGTGGTGTTCACAATGTCCCAGAGCTGTAGATGAGACAGAACTTATCCACCGTCTAGTCTGTTCTTCCTCGCCGCTGTGTGGATGAGGGTTGTTCCTGTAGTTCCTCTACAGTCGGAAGGGCAGGACCGAGGATGTCCCCTCCTTGCTCTTGGGAGTGCACCGTGAAATCGCATTCCTGTGTCACCGTTGCTCTCGCCAGAAGCGGATTTCCAAGTGGAGATGAAACAAAATGTTATATCAACAGCAACAGCCACCATGTTGGCCAGCAGCCATACCACCACATCCCGGCAGAACAACAAGGCAGAGAGGAGCCCAGGAACAGTCAAGAAGCCAGGGGCATCTCACCTTTGTAGCGGGAAGGGCTCTTGTGTGTGTGTGTGTGTGTGTACCTCAGGGAACCCCGGGTCACTTTCATGAGTCTGTGAACCCAAGATCCAACAGAAGGACATGTTCCCCGTAAAGTCAAGGAGCCAGGAGCTCTTGAACAGTTCTTAGTGGTGGGAAGCAGACTTTTCAAAATGGGCAGTAAATGGGGGTCCGGGCAGCAGGTCGTAGTGGATTTTCATTCAAAGATTTACTGGACATAGTTACCGAACCCTGGGATAGACAGTAACAAGAAACCCTCTTACTCCTAGTGAGCTTGTTGTGTGACTTTCTCTGGGGACATGGCAGGTCCCATGACTGATCAAAATCTGGAGCCCATTCCAGTCTGCAAGTTTAAAGGTGCGTGGACTGGGGGTTAAAAGTGACCCCCAAAGAGCTGAATCACCAGAGGCCCACCCAGCATGGGTGATCGCGTGAAGACGGCTTCCCTAAACCCCACCTCAGTCTTCCCATCTGTGTGCTCCATGTTCAAGGGGGCAGGATGCCACAGTGGGTTGGGATGGAGTGACGGGAAGTGCAGGCTCTGATGCTCTCACACCCCCTTTTATGAGGGGTGAGCACACCTGCTCTAACTTCAGGACAGCCATGGCCACGCGGTGCCTGGAGGACGGAGTTCTGGAAGGAAGCCACACCCTGGTGAATCTTGATCAAAGTAGCTGCTCCTGTTCTGTGGTGTGACTGGCGTCAGTGGCTGCTCAGGCCTCTGGGAATACCAAACATAAAACGCCTTAAAGTCTCTCGGGTTGATTTTGACGGAATATGAATTTTAGATCTGATCAGTGGCTGCGCTTTGGATTGCCAGCAGTCGGCAGGCGTGATGAAGATGCCTTGCTCCATGTGAGTTGGCTCACGAGTGCGTCCACCATCCTTTGAGATCCTATGGGATAGCGCACAAGATGGCTCAGCAGGGAGAAGGGCTTGTTGGGCTAGCCTGACTGCCTGAACTGGACCACAGGGGAAGGAGAACCAGCTTTTGAAAAATCGTATTCCAACCTCCACATGCACTCTGTGGCACACACACACATACACATGTACACACTCAGATGCACACATACAGATACACACATATACACACTCAGATACACACATACATATACACACACATATACACACTCAGGTACACACATAGACACACTCAGATACACACATAGACACACATACATATACACACACATATACACACTCAGATACACACATAGACACACAGAGACACACACATACACACTCAGATACACATAGAGACACAAACACATACAGATACACAGAGACACACAGATACACAAACTAAGATATACATAGAGACACAAACAGACACACATACAGAGAGAGACACAGGCACACACATACCAGACACACAAACACAGATATATACACATACAGATATACAGATACATGCACAGAGACATACACAGAGGCAGATGCACACATGGACAGACACACAGATATACACACAGATACCCACAGGCACTCACAACAGACATATAAACACAGACACGCACACATAGACACATGCATGGAGACACACACAGAGACAGACACACA